AACAAGACAACAACACAGACCCTGGTCACAGAACTGTATGTTCACAGATACAAGAGATGGTTCTAGATCATTAATGACTATAATGATAATGACCATCCTCTTGGTCCGCTTCATGTTCTCCTGAACCTCCCCTCTTTCAGTACGATATTTTTATATATTTCTGCCGACCCGAACTTGTTCCCAGCCACAAGTTTCGGGCAGCTCTCCGGAAGCGACCCCCCAAACATGAGTCGCGACCCCATAGTGAGGTGCCCCAGAGGTGACGACACGGAGACGAGGAGGTCAAGAGAGGCTGTGAAAATGTGGTGGTACAACACAACTCAGTTGTTTGTTATGTGATGACGTCACCTCTGCGTGAAACAACCTCCCCTCCAGTACTTTGTTTGGTTTTCCTTAAACACACAAATTTGACATATTGGACCCTAGCAGTAGCGGCTAAACAGAACCCAAAAAATGGAAAAAACAAAAATAGTTTCACTTTTGGTTCGTGTTCTTGACATTCTGTGTGGAGTCATAACATGGCAATGTTACACGCAGCGAAAGAGTGGACATGTACACAAACAAATAAGCTAATCACTTATAATACAATGATTTTCCTTTGTTGTCTCTTATTTCCAAAGTTGACACAAAAGTAGCGAGGTGTGGTTTTTAAGGTTTCTCGTATTCATTTTCTTACAGGTATATACTTTTTCACTCTTTCTAAGTTGATTCGTTTGTTCGTAGTTATTACTCAATAAGTATAATATAATAATAATAATCATTATTATTATTATATACAGAATGTCCTCTCTGCTGTCAGTGGAAAGGCTCTCAGAGCCTATCCCGAGGACCGTCGCAATTGGAAGTCCTAACATGGCAATGTTAGCATCACAGGCTGCAGCCAACACCAACAGATGGCGCTGGCATTCCTTTCAGTCAGCCGTGTCTCGTTTTGTTCAGGAACTCGTATTTGTGCATAAGAAAGAAACATGGTTACCATTACCTAAATGACAACGAGTTATTTGGGTTCGTTACTCATATATCCGCGTTGTATCAAAACAAAATATACTCCAATTGGGAAACAATGAGCTTAAAATTGTACATAGAACTTCAACTGACAGGGAATCACCACAAATGTTTTCATTTTTGACCAACTCTGAATTTTTAACGAGCTAACACGTTTGCACAGTAGTAACGGATCTCAAAAAGGGTGCAGACTATCAGTTTAAAGCCTCTACTGACATCTTGTGGCTATCACACGTAACTCTACATCCAAACACCGTAATCCCTAACACAGTACAACCATCTTCAATCTTTCATAAATAACCTCTTCCCTTCATGGCAAGGTTGTTCTCTCTGTTAATAAAAAACTTATTCCAAAACTAACCATTTTATTTATACTCAATAGTAACTATGACGTACTTATACTTTAGGACATGTCTTTAGGAATACGTCAATCCGTAAACAAAGGAACAGTGTCCCCATTTACCTTAACGCTCTGAGTGTGTAATTTTAAAGTTAAAAAATCCTACTTATCTTCCAAATTCAAAGAAGACATCCAAAAATGTGTAACGTGATACAAGCTAACTCTACTTACTATACAAACATCATACACTATATGCAATTCTTGCAACTACACCAACTTCACATTTAATTTTATTCGGAAAATAATACACACAATTTCTATGACGTGGAAAATATGTGTTGATTTTTTTTTTTTGTTTTTACTGTGATAGGTAATTGCTTATTAATTGTGGAGCCTTGGAGTATAGTTTCCCTTCATAATTATGCAGTGAGCAGAGCGAGGTTTTGTGTTAACAAACTTTGTAAATATATGTGGGCTCGTCTTCTCCGCTGTGGAGGCACGGCCCACATTCGTCACTGACCACTGCCCAGTTACGGGCAGCCATTGGAATCAGAGGACAGTAGATAACAAATCTCCAATCTATTCTTTGGTTTCCACTGAGAATCTCTGGCAAGACTGCACGACGGCATACAGACGTGCATTAAGCAATTCGTGACAGAAATACAGAACCCTGTGTGATCAACAGTTCCAATGACTGTGGTTACCATGGTAACGACACAATCTGTCACAATGGTAACCATCGCGGGAGGATGAGTAGTACCCCTTCTCCATATCATGGAGGCCCTTGGCTCAAACCTTAAATTAGGCCATGACCACTTTCTCCCATATCCTTTACAATTCATTATTCACTAAACAAAATGACCCATTAAAGCGTCGTTAAACACTCAAAGGATAAGAATACCATCTATTCTACTTCCTCCAGTTTTAAGATTGTGGTCTTAAGGATTACTTCATGTCGTTTCGGAAGAATGTGCTGCCCCCACTTTCAGGGTAAAAATCAATATATTTTTTGTTGCTTATAGACATGCCGCTCCATTATTGCTACCCTGATGTAGGAAAGACACCACTAGGGAGACCCAGACATAGATAAGAGGTTAATGCTAAAAGGGACGAGAAGGTGTGGACTGGACTAAGCTGACTAAGGATTAGGGTCCACCGAACGCGCCAACGAACCCTCGGGTTCCATAAAATGCTGGCAATATCTTGACTGTATCAATAATTTTGACTTCCCTCGTATTCAGTTCCATGGAGACAGTGAATTGGTTACACAGTTTGAAAAATTGTATCCATGTTCCAGTTCTGAATTTCATGATAGAGAAACACGTAATTAAATTTAACCGAAAGGATTAAGAACTGAGACTGGAGAAGTGTAAGAATAATTATGTTGAACTTAGTTAAGTGCGTGACCTCTGACTAGTGGCCATGTATTAAGGGTTCGCCCTGCAACGCGGGCCCTTCATCCAGGCCATATGACGTGTTTAACTATTGTTTCTGTTTGATTCGAAGTTCTCAAGGCGGCTGCTACACAGTGTATTTCGAGGAGAGGGCGATTTCTTTTTGCCTCCAACTTCACGATCGTCTATAGTCAGCTTGCCGCTTATGTCTGCTGGTTTCCTGTTTGGCTTACTCTTCTACCTTAAAGACAGAGGCGATGTTCCTCCGTAATGTCGGGCTTTCTTCGAACTACACTGTTTTACAAATTTTTATCTGGTTCGTTATGTTCTACACATACGTATGTTTTGGATCACAACTGCGTCATGAGTCAGCGAACGAGTACAGGAAGTTGCGTTACCGACTGCCTCCCAGTATCCCAGTATTTGGGAACAAAGAATGGTGCTGGGCGCCTGCTTCAGGAACTTACAGCGTGCACTTCTGGCCCTGAAATTGCCTTTTTCTAATAGTGTACTGTAGCATTCTGTTGCATTGCCTGTTTTATTCAAGTCTCGCGTGCAATCCACACTAAAACTTTTAAAATTTAAAATTACACCATTAAAATTCTTAACTCTTTCACGTTCTATATCTGTGCACAATAAGATTCAGCCTATCTGGCCATCATCAGGTGCATTAAAATTGATACACTGTCGTAACTCTTGTGGATACGTTTCCATAATTCTATGATTTAATCTTAAAATTTCCGAAGTATAATTAATTTTTCGTTTGTCATGAGAGTTGGAAACTGGTGTAATAATTAGTTAGTGGTAATATACGAAACACGTTGATGTTATTCTCAATGTGTTGCTGTATTTCCTCCTGTTGCCTCTTGTGTAGTTATGAGTGTTTCGTAGTGTTGGTTCTGTTTTATATAGGGTAGATGGTACCCCTGTGCTGCTATCTACCATTTAATTAGCGGTATTTTTCAAATATCCGGTTATCTATCAATGTATGTGTCATTCATGTGTAGCTTGTTCTTCCTGTATTGTATATGTGGTATTTTCCCAATGTGTGTTTTCATGATGACCACTCTATATGTTATGGTCCCATATGTGTGTCCCGTGTTCGGTATACGCTTCGAGTACCCCGTCAGTGTTCTTAATTGTATGCATTTGCTCATCTTCTTATTACTGGATAAGTGTGTAATCTGTTTTATAGGTAGTTAATATTTTATGTTAATGTGTGTGGCAGGAGTCGTTATGTATTCTGATGTCTGTGTGTTTTCTATGTATATCGAAAACTCCAGCTTTGTTTCTCAGGGTGTACTATGAGATCTTGTGTCTTTTTCTGTTGAGAATTTTGTGCTTGCAGTAAAGTGACTGTGAGAAGTGGAGTGAGGTGAGGTGAGGTGAGGTGAGGTGAGGTGAGGTGAGGTGAGGTCATCAAGAAGTGTGCCAGCGATTCGCCAAACGGACCATGCAATCCAACTCAGGCACGAGAATGGAAGAGATGGGGTTGAAACGGATATCACGTATGGCGGATAGCGTCACGATTTCTGTCATCATCATCCTGAGGTGGAAAACTATAGTGTCCTTCCTCTGGTTTGAGGAAACATGGGTTCCGGTGTCTGTCGAGAATTTCACACTACAGCAGGTATAAGCAAGTAAAATACTCCGTTTTTAATTAAGCGCCATGAAGAAGTGTGGGAAGGGGGATGTACAGATCCACGTATCCTCGTCAGCAGATGGGTGTGACTTGTCTTTCTTCACGCTCCGGCAGCTTTATCCCAGGGAAAGATCCATTTGTACCCATTTGATGAGGCTGGTTGTACCCGTGAACCAGTCTGGACGCTGCACCTGCAGGGAATCGAACCCCAATTCTTTGGCAAGAGTTCATCACTTTGACTACCGTGGCCTAGTTAGTTAGTTATTTAGAGAGGGTGGGTTTCCCCATGCACAGCGACCAGTCTGATCTATTGTGCTTCCCTCTATGATATTCTACCAGTCTCTATACCCTACAGATAGTGGTGCTTACCCTCAGTCCCGACCAAGCCAGCGAGTTCGGCCTCTACTGGCTTTGCGGTATCTATAATGCTTCCCCCATCTATCAGAGGCGTTAGAGACTACTGTTGGGCGGGAAATGTCCTTGAATTTGGCTCAGTGACCTCCTTAGGAGATATGAGGTTATTTTACGTGCCGTAAAGCTACGACACGGGACCCACGGCTTAAAGTCCCTCCCGGAGGGCTTGTTCTCTGAATTTTTCCGCCCTTAAAAATTCCACGACCTCCGCCGGGTTTGAACCCGCTCTACCGTGGCCTAAGTCAGTACTACGATCGCTCTGGGTTTACAGGTTGCTGCTGAATGTGTGTTCCTCGGGGCCGACCCGAAACTCTTCTTCTCACAATTATGTTGCTGCTGTACCTTTATCGAGGAATCTGTCGTGAGACTCTTCCTGCAGTTCTCTTTTGGGGTTCAATTGTGACGCAGTCAAAGCTTACTATCACGCGGATCGCAGGGCTTCAACGTGAACATTCATACATGCAGTTGGGTGGCGAACACTTTGTGTTTTAAGGTCATAATAAAACTCGTTTCTCATTTAAATTTTGTTTGGATTTTAGCATCAAACATGGTCGTCAAAGTGGCACCAGTATAGGGCACCAGAGATAACAGAGTCTGTCAATATGTATGTGTGTATGTATGTATGTGTTTAACGGCGCGCAAGTACCGATGCCTATGTGTGCCTGATTAACGTTCAGAGTGGGTCGCTTCCTACAGGATCCAGCATACATATACAGTTAGTAAGAGGTTAGCAGAAAAATATAGCAAATATTTTCTAACAAACTCAACAAAACTGGCTGTACATAGATCGGAAAATATCTTGAAACTGTAAGAGTAACAGCACAAGCTGGAGTCGAAAGGATTATATAAAATCAAGTACAGAATTATTTAAGAGATGAACTGCAAATATTCTAATAACAAAAGGTCAATAATGCAGGCTGTTTGTATGTTAGTAAAAATTTAAGACAGCAATGAGCCTGCAAAACGGAAATCAGCTAAATATGCTTGGTTACCCCTGTAGAATGAAGAAAATGCAAGACACCTTATCCGGGAGGATGACCCTTTTTGTAATTCTAAACAGAAAATTAAAATATTCGGTTTAAGACCAACGCTTGGAGATTTTTGGGCAACACAGTCCTTGACGGGCCCATGGAAACAAATAGCTCTCATGGGTGGGAGGCATACAAGTTAGAGGCTACAGGATTCCCAGTTGATAACTATGCAAATGGCTTCACGATGTCGCAACCCTAAAGACACACAATCTGAACTTCACACCACCACAAAAGCCTGCAATGCCGTGCACTCCTGCGGAGAGACCTGCAACGAGGCTCACGTAACGTCTGCGACAACGCCTGTACTGAACCAACCGGATGTTACATGAACCTCGCAAATACATGTGATCCTACTGCCCAGTGCTGGGCAGTGCGACGGGAGAGCAGGTCGGTGGGCCGTCTCCCGAATGCAGCTGTAGCAGCTTGGTCCGCTTCGGTTCCACCGGATGGCAGAAGTCGCTGCTGTCCTTACTTCCAGCGATGTTGGCATTAGAGTCGGTGGGGGCTGCGCCCGGCCCCTGCGAAGGAGCAGTGCTCTCCGCGGCAGCCCGCGCCGCTAACAACGTGATCTGATTCACAACGTCTTCCATCTCGTGGGAGAGACCAGCGGAAGGGCTCAGGGAAGCCGCTGGATGGTGCTGGTGCTGTGAAGCGGGCACCCTCTGCGTTTGGATGGGATGCTTTGTTTGCAGTGGCGTAGATGTGGTCGTAGGGGGGGCCCCGAGCTTAGTGACGTGGGCCTCACTGTCACAGTGACGCTTGAACTCAAGAAGCGAGGTCATCTTGTCTGTTTCAGCCGACGCTGGGCACAACTTGCACTCGTAATGTGTCTGCACGAGGCGGACAGCCCCGCGTGACTCGGCGGGCACACCTTGGTAGCACATAACCCGTTGGTGACCCTGCAGGCCAGCTTCACCTGGGAAGGCCAACCGACACTTCTTGCAGACGAAGCCAACCTCAGACTCTACCTCGAGACAGTACGCAGTTTGCGACGGCATCAGCGGGGGTGGGTCGGAGTCTGCAACAGCTGGGATTCGAATGATGGACACTCCTGGTTCACAGGACGACGAGGCCTCTCCGATCGCTTGCAGTGTCGTCGGTGGGAGTTGGAGCAGGTGGAGGGGAGTTCCGCCGCCGCCACCGAGTCCAGGAGATGGTTCGAACAAGCCTCCTCCGCCTCCAGTTGCTGCAAGCAAGAGAAAGCACCGCATTTATTTCACAAGAAGCGGTACCGGGACAGTTTGCCACAAACGGAATGACATGACAATCTCAAAGTAAAAATGTAAATGTTAATTTCTGAGGAAGGTACTAATATAAGTTTTCTTATGAAGGGCAGTTTGCCCCGCGTTCTCTGTGACACACATCCATAAGTGATTCAAATTGGGGTGGCCAGAGGGAATTGGAATGTCCTCTGTTCGGCATTCTTACTGCAGAACCATACTTCTGGAACTTCAGGAACTCTCCGACACCCAGACCGCGTTTCCATCGCCTCTCCCCTTCCACTGACCACCTGACGTTGTTGGTTTAAGGAAATCAACGGTCAACTGTGTCAAGCAAATGTACAGGGTAGCTCACGAAAACCTGGTGGGACTAAAATTAAACGGGACACTTCAGCTGTCGGTCTATACCGACGATGTGAATCTACTGGATGATAATGTAATTTTTTTTTTCATTGGCGCTACAGCTCTCATTTGGGACTAGGCCTACCTCCCTGAAACTCTCCATTCGGTTTTTACTAGATCTTAGATATTCGGTAGGACTCCTTGGGCGGGTGGTCAGCTCGTCGCAAGGTCGCTCTACCTGTACACAAACACAGAAAAACGCACAAAAACATCTATGCCCTGAATGGGATTCGAACCCACGATCCCGGCTTCCGAGCGAGCGAAGATAGTGCATGCCTTAGACCGCTCGGCTACCGTGACCGGCGATAATGCAAATACCATAAAGAAAAACACACAAACTTTAACTGACGTAATTAAAGAAGTTGGTCTAGAAGTAAACACAGAGAAAACTAAGTATATGTTGCTGTCTCGTCACCAAAATGCAGGGCAAAATCGTGAGATAAAGATAGGAAACAGATGTTTTGAAAACGTGGCACAGTTCAGATATTTGGGAACAACGATAACAGATCGAAACCTGATTCATGAGGAAATTAAGAGGAGATTGAATGCACGAATAGGGGAGACAAAGACTGCGTATAGGATATTGGTGGGAGAGCCAGAAGGAAAGAGACCACTGGGAAGACCAAGGCGTAGGTGGGTGGACAATATTAAAATGAATCTTAGAGAGATAGAATGGGATGGTATGGATTGGATTGATCTGACTCAGGATAGGGACCAGTGGAGGGCTCTTGTGAACACGGTAATGAACATTCGGGTTCCATAAAATACTGGGAAATTCTTGAGTAGCTGCAGAATTGGCGGCTCCTCCAGAAAGGCTCAACTCCACGAGTGAGTAAGTAGGTAAGTAAGAAATATACTTATTATTTAAAACGCATTTTTTTAATTGAACAAGATGTGGTCCAAGGTTCCGGCAAAGGATTTAGTTCCAGAATGTGACATTACAGAGGGGTTGTCATTCGTCAGCGTGCCACCGACTAGTGATAACACATGATTTGATGCATTAACTCCATATGTACTATGCTACAAGCCAAAAGGTCGCGGGCTCGATTCCCAATAATCTCCTTAAATTTTTCAATTGTCCTAATCATTGCAGCAGTACCAGGAAACTTCCTGGCGCGTAAGGGTGACAACCTCACCGCCATCTGTGAGCCGAATGTCTAGAAAATGTGGGAGCGTCGACATCTCACAACCCTATGTGCGTCCACGGCCAGAGACGCGGATATCTTTACCTTATTAATCGCATATGGCTGCCTAGCGACAAACAGAAGTGTGCATGATCGCTTTATGCATTAAGCCTTATCGGTTTCCTAGCAACCACCAGGATAGGAACACGGTCAAGGGATTGCAGAAAGATTTTTTGTTATAGAAGACCATAAAAGTTTGATACAAGCACATAAGAACATGCGTACATATTAATAAGCATGTCGACTCATCACCCTCCCCAGCAGGCAATTGTTTCATTAAGGCCGTGGTGATGGTGCTGCTGCCAACTGGCAATTACGTGAGTGAGAATGTCCCCTCATTCAGTGACACTAACAACAATTAACGTTTCAACTCTGTTAATACAAGCCTCTGATGTCACATCCTTTACGTGTTATTTTTTTCTCCAAACATACCCATCATAATTGCACTATGCATGGTACACGTCACATCCGGATGTATTTCATTACTACGGCCATTGAGATATTCGAGACTTTAATGAATAGAAGAGTGTCGTTAGTCAATAGTGACGGTTGGTTGGTTTGTTATTCTCATAAAGGGGAAATTAGCCATTCTAGGACGCTTCAGAATTATGTGCTTCCCACAGTTATGGCTGATGACCTTCCCTGCTTTAAACATATACTATTCTTTTCGATTACGTAAAAAGTAATCAATAAACAAATGTAATGTCAAGCAAACATAACTCAATTTACGAACTTGTCAATTATATAAGAAGACGACTGCTAACTGCTGTTTACTCTGTGCCAGAATTTCATTTGGTTTCGAGTAATTCGCTGTTGGCCTTCGCCAGCAGATTTATTTCTGGTTCAGGGCGGCACGGGAATCATGATTATATTTTCTGCCTTCAAATGGGGCACGCGGTACCGTAGTTAGTTGAGGCACTATGCTACAAGCCGGAAGATCGCGGGTTCAAGTCCCGGTGAGCTCACTGTGCAGACGACAAACAGAAATCATACAAAATCATGAGAATGAAAATGTTCGCGGTATAGGACAAGGTGAAGCCAGACATAGAAAATATAAGATGTTTTAACCTGGCGGTGGTCAAGTTTACGACCGTTCAAATGACTAAGTTTCGTTGTAGCATAAGATATGTAAGTTAGGCATGAGCTGCTCTGTAAAGCCTGTACTGACAGAGGACTTGCGTGTAGTGCAGAAGGAAGAGTTTTCGATAACGCGTTATATGTGCGAAATATACACTTGACGAAAGGTCAAGTGTATTCATAAAAGACAGACCCATCTTCTCGTCAGAGAGGATGTTACATAAGGCCTATTACCGCAAGAGTTCAGTTGGAAAAAAAAAATATCTCTGGTCGTGAGTCTCAAGGGGCTTGATGCCAAGACGAACTGATTGGCGGTAAACCGCCAGTCGTAAAGTAACTCTATCTTGCTGGAATGATAATTGAAGGAGTCTCTTGAGACGGCAGTCAAAGATGACTGAGAAGAGATGGCAACTGACAGTTACAGTGAGACTAGTATAATTATTGTGTTGAGATCCGTTGCCAGGATACGACTAGTGAAGTCTGAGAACACTAGTGTGTGTGTGTAACGGTGAAATGTAAAGGGTGCAGATCAGAGATAGCGCTGTCTTGCCTGTAATTACGAGCGCATTAGTGCATCAAATCAAAATCCCTTCTATAGTCACGCACACCTAAATACATGACCATATACAGCCTACAGAGCTCAGCCCGTGTAGCGACTATGGATTGGACGGCTAGGGTTCGATTTCCGTTAGAGGCAAGAGACTTAGCGTTCAGAGCAGCTCTGGGCCCCACCGAGCCTCCAATACAATTAGTACCGGGGGTTATATCCCCGTGGTTAAAGTAGCCGGAGCTTGAAGCTGACCACTCATTTCGTTATAGTGATGAGGTCGAGAATGGTGTAGCTACACCCCCACTCTCCAGCAAGGCACGGTGCTTAATTAAAGGTAGGCATGACTTGGGCTTCCTTGTGACTCTGCCAATTTTACTGAAATACGCCGACTAAACGCTCGAACAAACTGCAAAGTGAGGAGCTTCATAACTTGAACTCTTGGCCCAGTATACGAAATAGAACGATCACGTCAAGGAGAATGAAATGGGCACAGCGTGTAATGCGAATGAGGGAGAAGAGGAATGCATATAGGATATTGGTGGGGAAGCCAGAAAGAAAGAGACCTCTAGGAAGACCAGTACGTAGGTGGTTGGACAATATTAAAATGGATCTTAGAGAGATAGGATTGGATCGATCTGGCTCAGGATAGGGACCAGTGGAGGGCTCATGTGAAGACGGTGATGAACCATCGGGTTCAATAAAATAGTGGGAAGTTCCTGAGTAGCTGCACAACTGGAAGCTTCTCAAGAAGGGTTCGGCTCCATGAGTGAGCGAGGGAGTGAACATGCCGATAAAACACTAATGTTTCGTTAGCTACACTCCACATAGCTCTGAAGGTTCCCTGACGCTTGCTTCTTGGCACCTGTTGTGCGTATTCGCGTCCCAGCTGTGGCTATATGAATCACGTGAATTCGTCATCCGTTTATCCAAGGCAGTGTCAGCTCTCGCCTGTGTTTCAGTCTTAATAACAAGCCACTTCATTAATTAGGATTTCCCCTCTCAGAAGAGCCACGTAACAAGCAATTATCCCCCTCCCTTTACCAAGTTCAAATTAATTAAGGATTCTAAAACGTTGATACACATGCAAGAGACCCTTTCGGACTCCGCCGGCTGCTCTACGGGTCACAAGGGCGACAAACTGATTGACGAGACAAATGTCTAAAGGGATTAGCCAACTTAACAAAACATAATGCGAAAAAAGATGCTGGGGCACGCAGTACTGTCGTTGATTGAGGCACTATGTTACAAGCTGGGAGGTCACGAGTTCGATTACCGATGACACCTTTTTTTTTTTCAATTGACCTAATCCCTCCATCGCACTATGGTCCTAGGGCCGACTCAGCCTCTAAAAGAAATGAGCACCAGGAATATTCTTAGGGGTAAAGGGCGGCCGGTGAGTAGGGCTGACAACCTTACCGCGCCATCTGTGAGCAGACTGTCTTGAAAATTTGGGAGCCTCGACGCCTCACAGTCCTATGGGCCTTCATGGCCTGTTACACGGACAGCGCAAATAAAAGCGAAGTGAGATGAACAAGATCCTGAGGGCAGCTACACGTACACTTACTGTGAGATCATTCTGCCCGCAATCACTTTCTGATGTGTGGCTTTCTCATGGCGATAAACACTGAGTTAACAGTCAGCTTGGATGTGAGAACGTGTAGTTTGGTAGTCAGTTATTAACATTTTGGACGAATGTGTTCCCTCAATTTCTATTTTCTATCTGAAGCAGGTTTGTCTTCAGGTCAGGAGACAA